ACACACACCACCCTTCACACACACACCACCCTTCACACACACACCACCCTCCCCGCTCCCCACCCCCTTCACACACACACCACCCTCCGCGCACACACCACCCTTTGCACACACACCACCCTTCACACACACACCACCCTCCCCGCACACACCACCCTCCGCGCACACACCACCCTTTGCACACACACCACCCTTCACACACACACCACCCTCCCCGCTCCCCACCCCCTTCACACACACACCATCCTCCCCGCACACACCACCCTTCGCTCACGGCCCACTTCTCACCACGGCCTTACACTGCTGTGGAGGGAGAAGACTGGGAAGAGGAGAAAGATGGGAGAAAGCGCCACGGTTACCAACACATCATCTGAAATTCGAAATGAAGGACGAGACCTGCCTCCCTGGAAGTGGGCTGTGACAAGCAGACCCACAGGCCCATGACACAGTGTTCACTGTTTTACCCTGAGGGAGCCCCTTTCACAACCTGCCATTGGGGCTCAGGTGGTGGAAGGAAAGTCAGAGCAGGTGGAGAAGTAGAGACCAGGGAAAAGGAGCGAGGGCCCGGCTGGTGTGGCCCGTGACCGTGACCGAGCGTGGACCCAGGTACCAAGAGGCCGAGGGCTTGATTCCCCATGAGGGCACAGGCCCGGGTTGCCCGCTGGATCCCCAGCAGGGGGCGTGCAGCAGGCAGCCCATCAATGTTTCTCTCTTATTGGTGTTTCTCTTTCCCTCTCCCTTCCTCTCTCTCTAAAAAGCAATCAGAACATTAAAAAAATTTTTTTAAAGAAAAAAAATGAGGGTATTGTAGACATTTCCCGGGGGGCGGGGGGGGACAAAGGATGAGCTCAAGCTGCTAGGTGAGGTGGGCTTGGGGAAAGAGGGTTATGGAGGAGGCCCTGGGAGATGGGGCGTCAGAGAGCGCGGGCACTTCCCAGGGCCCAGCTTCCGTGTCCGCAGGCTGTGCCCCAGGCACCCAGATGTTCACCCCCAGAGGCGCTCCCCCGAGCCTTGGCCACTGGGTGTTCTATCGGGGTTTCACTGTGCAGGCGCGATCTTTCCACCCACTGGCCCTGGGACTGATGGAACTCAATCTCCAGCCCCGCCCCCCTCCGGAGCTGGGGCTCTGACACCACCCTGAGTCAGCTCTTCAGCATAACCCAGGGCTGCGCCAAGGAGCCCAGCATAGGTAACGGACATCCGATCGCTCAGGAACTTCCAGAGATTGAGGTGCTTCCCCCAAGACCCAGGGACAAGGACCACCACAGAATTCATTACACAGCACACTGGGCGTGGCCGGGAACTGGTCAGAGCTCAGGTGGCCAGGAAGGTAGACAGGTGAGGACAACCAAAGGGTCCGGGCTGCCTGTCGCTACTTGAGCCAATGAAGCAGAGACAGGGTTGAATCCTACATGAGCGTGTATTCCAGTCCTGCCGGCAGCGTGGCAGAGCAGCGGGTCACCCACAAACATCTGCGCTGCCCCCCATAAGCCAGCTGCTTATACGGAGTAGACAAAGATTACACGGGGAAGTAGGCAAAAGGGATGCCAAATGGGTAGTGCAGGCTGCAGATTTGCAAAGGCCTGTGGGTAAGCCACGGCTGGGGGTCTTCACAGGGCTGGCGGCTCTGGTTTCTGCGACAAGGTTGCTAATCTGTCCATGATCATAGGCAGCTGCCGGATGGGGAGGAGGGGCCGCCTTTCCAGGTGAGCTCCCAGGTCCCACGGCAGCTCCCAGCCAGGTGAGCACGCGCCTTCTGTAATCAGAACGAAGCGATAGCGGCTCCCAGAGCAGGATTCATGTTTCTTACAATCCTAGCTGGTCCCCAGTCTTCTAGAAGTGAGGAGGGAAATAACGGGGTGCTCGCAGGCCGCTGGAATAGCTCCGGGGACGCAGGAGTGCAGGAGCTGGGGGCAGCTCTGCAAAGGCGAGTGACTGAGTGGAGAAGCCCGGAGGAAACACGTCCGTGTCAGGGGTGGGTTTGTTTCCCCACGGGGGAGGCATCCAGACTCATGCTCTATGACGTTATCGCAGAACTCGATTTACTAAAATTTTAATTAAATGCCGCACGTGTCAGTGAGCATGACACACCCCTTTCCCTGATTTACCAGGGTTGTTAGTGGTCACCGATTCTAAGCCTTAAGCTCTCAGATACCGAAAGGCCAGGGCGCCGAGAACCTGGTGCGGCGTCGACATTGCAGACATTCCTCTCAATGACGGGGAACCTGGCGTCCCGCCCGGGCGGCGAGCTCTCCGGGCGCAGCGCCCCTCCACCGCCCGACGAGCTGGAGACTTGGAAGACGCTCCCTAACTGGACGGCACGGGGACTTATGGGAAATAGAGTCCCGCTGCCCCGGGTGGGCCCCGGCCGGCGACTTCCGGCGTCCTCCTGCGCATGTGCACTTGGGCTGTGTGCGTGTTCGCGCAGGCGCCCTGCGGCCGCGCTGCTGTCGCTTCCTGTCCGAGCCCAGGTCACCGCTGCCCCTGGTGCCCAAGCCTTGGCCTCTGTTGGGCGACGATCCCGGGGCCTGCGGGGCTGGGCGCTGTCCGGTCGGGCCGCCACGCAGCGGGCGCGGGGCTGTGCGGGCGGAGTCTGGAGCGGGGACCCGGAGGCGGCCCCGGAGCCCGCGGGCCAGGCCCGAGGAGCTGGGCGGCGGCGGCGGGGTCGGGCCCGGCCCGTCGGCATCGCGGCGCCCGGCCGAGGCGCGCGGGGCGGTGAGGCCCCGGGAGGGACGTTCTCCCGAGTGAGTGTGTCCCGTAGGCCCAGAGCCGGCTCCTCGGGGACGCGGCTTGGGAGGCGCAGAGGCGGGGGCCCCGGGAGAGAAGCGGCGGCGCCGCGGGAGCCTGGGGGCGGGTCAGCGAGTCCCGAGGGGCGGTCGTGCGCTGGCGGCCGCGGCAGTTCTGGGTCCTCCCGGCCGCGGTGAGCCGGGCAGGGGACTCGCCCCGGACGAGGACACAGGGGTTTGCGGCCGGGAGCGTGGACCGCTTCCCGGGGACCCGCGTGTCAGAGGCGGAGGGGCAGGCTGCCGGGAGCGGGCGCCCCCTGGACTGGGGACCTCCCTGTCTCCTGGGGGCCTCGGGGGTCCCAGCCTGGGCTTCGAGGTGCCCCAGCTCCCTGCACCCCCAACACCCCTTCCTCCGCCTCGCCCTCCCCAGGTTCCCAGCGTCTCTAAACGTCCACCAGGACCTAGTTCACCGGCCTAAGCGTGTGCCCACTCCCCTCGGAGCTGCCTGTGCCGTCCCGGTGCCGCGGTTCGATGAGCCTGCAGGGGGCGTCCTGCTCCTCGGTGACAGCGGAAGAGATTGGGCCTGAGAAGGGCGGGACTTGCCCGGGTGTTCGCCTGTAGGTGGGACCGCGAACAGGACTCAGGCTCCCAGGGCAAGTGTTGTGCCCACTGTACTGCGGTTTTATTAAGAGAGTAAGTGCAGCACTAGCCAAGTCTTGTCAGATAAAACCCCGCCGTGATGCACATTTATCCCGTCTCTGAGAGCACATATGCTGTGTTCCTCTGTATTCCTTGATTTTTAATAATTGAAAGAAAATAGGTCAACAGTATAACAGGATTTCCACCACCACCACCACCTTTTATTTAGTGGTGGCCAACCTTTTGAAAACGGAGTCAGTGTTTATATTCACCAATGGGAGGAACCTGTCGGATTACCTCCATCCTTTTGGGGTGGCAGTGGTTCGGGTGTGTCTCTCTGTCACCCTTGAGCCCGATCTGAGTGTTCACAGGGCATCATTTTATTGCGTTTTCTTTGGCGATTCTCATGCAAAAGGTTCCCGGCCACACAGGCCAGGGTACTCATTCATGACTTCAATGACTTGCTTGTTCTCCCCTAGGTCCGCTGTTAACAACCTCCACACTTTTCCAAGAGCAGCAGAAAATGCATGAGTCCCAGGTGAGTTTTCCCACTTTGCTCTGTAAGACAGGTTGGGAAGTTTATAAGGGTCCACATTTTAAACGGGGAACGTGGAGGTAGGTAAAAGACTGTGTGAAATGCAGTTCTGAGAGTGTCGGCGCGTCAGCACCAAGAATCTTTGTCAATTCACGTGTCCAGGTAGTAGGATGCTTTAGGGCGATTGAGGTTGAGCTGCAAATACGACCAATGCCCTTGACCATCTTAGGAAAAGGAAAATACCACCCACTGTGTGATCTGTGTAGACTATAAGAGACTATGTGATTTGTTAGTTGTGGGTTGTAAAGATTTACTAGGACTTGAGAATTTTTCTTTAATAAAGTTGATACAGTGTGGATAGCTTTCATAATAGCAACCAGGAAGTCATTGCAATATATGGCTTGTCCTCACTTTTGTAAGCATAGGGCCTCCTGCCCAAGAGAACAATATTTTGGTTTTTTCAGGCACCAAAATAATTGTGATCGAAATAGATACATTTCCATTGTTACTATTTAATCCAGGGATAACAGGAAGTCCAGGGGCACTGACCTGTTCGTCCTTTAGATGTTTCTGTTCGTCTGTTTATTGGGTTGCCCAGCAAACAATACAAAAAGGTATTCTCTGGTAAGGGTGCCCTCGCTCCCCATTCCCGCTTCAGGCCTCAGGGCCTTGGCTTAGTCCTGCCCACTTGCCTGCGTCTGTTGGTGAAGATCAGCAGTGACCTAATTATAGTCAAATCCTATGGACACTTGCCAGTCCTTTTCCTCACGTGACCATGCATCTGCCTTTGACATCTGTTTCTTCCAAATGATACTTTCTCCCTTTACTTGGCTTTAAAAAAAAATTGACCTGTATTTCTCAATGTGTCTCTGAAGGAAAAAGAGGCTTTCCCCAGGTGGGCTGGGATAATTCACAATACTGTCCTTTGTTATGTAAGATCCAGTGTCCAAATTTCAGTTTCCTAAATGTTTTTTTTTAATTTGTTCTTTTCGATCACGATACAAATAGAGGCCATATGTTGCAGTTGGCCTCTTCTAATAATAACTTTCCCTGTATGTCTCGTGTCATTTCTTTGAAATTTGTTTTCTGAAGAAATTGGGTTGTGCCCTGGTCCTGGTGGCTGAATTGGTTGGGCGCTGAGAGGTCGCTGGTGATTCCGGGTCAGGGCACATGCCTGGGTTGCGGGCTCAGTCCCCAGTGGGGGCATGCAGGAGGCAGCCGATTGACGTTTCTCTCTCCTTCTCCCTTCCTCTCTCTAAAAATCAATAAAAAGTCTTTAAAAAATGTTTAAAAAGTAAATTGGGTTGTTTATCCTCAGTTTCCCCAGTGTGGACTGTGCTGATTGCATTGCTGTCTGTTTTAACTTTGCTTTTCAAATCCCCTGCACTCCTGGTAAAGTTGGTAGTTAGGTCTGGGCATTTCCTCAGGTTTAGGTTCAGTTCTTCTGGGAAGACTGTGCTGTCCATGCCTTTGTCCTCTTCCCGCTGGAGCCCGTATTGCCTTCCTGTCTCGTCTTGTGATGTGAGCGTCTGTTGATTGACATCCGTTGCCCTGATCCACGAATTCACTAGGGGAGACCAGATGGTGACAAGCTTCTTTACCGCTTCTTCTTCATTTACGCGCTGGGATACTCTTCTAAGAAGAACATCGCTCCCCTTGGCCCTGTGATTCAAACGGGAAGGACAGTTTCCAAAGCACGGGGCCGGCTCCTGAGGGACAGGGCTTTGCGTTTCAGTCTGTCGTCTCTATGAGCTCATGGGTTAAATGGATTTGGTAGCGATTGAAGTTGTTACTCTTTTTGATGTTTCAGTGGCCCATCTTTGAATCCCTTCACAGTAGTTCTGCACCCTTTTGAAACATTCCCTATGTATTTTAGAGTATTCTCTTCTATTCAACATTTTATTTTGAAAAACTTCAAATTTACAGAACAGTCACGAGGATTGTATAAGAACTCCATGTTCCTGCTGCTGAGATGCTCCAGTTTTTGACATTTTTTAACTTTTGCTGTATTATTTTCTCTCTGTGTGTATTACATTTTTTTCTGAGTTATTTGAGAATGGGTGTCAGATGTCATGCCTCCTTAACCTGTATTTCAGATTTAACCTTCTAAGATCAAGAATATTCTCTTACATATTCCTGGCACAGTGACTGAATTTAGGAAGTTTAACATTGATATAATGCTCTTATCTAATCCACATTCACCTTTCGGTTTAGCCAGTTTCCCAGGATTTCCTGTTTTTGATTTCTGGTGGAGGCTGCAGTCCGGGACTGTGAATGACATTTAGCTCTTTCTCCTCTGCTTGGTCTCAGTTCTCCCCCGGCCCAGGCTGGGCCTCGCGGGCCGGAGCTGTGGGGCCCACGCGTGCATTTCCATCTCATGAATGGCTAGTGTTTCCCATTAAAGAAATTCCTGACTTTAAAACTTGAGAGGACAGAAGCATACGTATGTGTGCGTGCGAGCATGTGTGTGTCTGTATAAATTTAAAAAGTGTACATGTGTGCTTGTGTGTGATTGAGATAGATATGTATATATGTATCACATACATATGCATATATCATATACTATGCACATTATAAGACTTCGTGTGTAAATATTTACATATATTCATGTTAGTGAAGTATCAATCCATTTCTATTTTTTGAGGGTTTTCTTTGTTAAATTCAGTGCGCATTTTGAGTATTCTCAGAGGCCTATTCAGCATCTTTGCAGATAGAAGATTTTCATTCTGATCCGTACTCTAGTGGTACATTATATTAATGGATTGCCAGGTATTAAACTAGTCTGAATTCCTGGAATAAGTCCCATTTAGCTATTATATGTGATCTCTTCAATCTGGTATTGAGTTCTGTTGCTGATATTTTGTTTTGAATGTTTGTGTTGGTATAAGTGATATTGGTATGCATGTTACTGACTGATGAAGCCGTCTTCTAACCCTACCCCTCCTGGCCTTGCGGACTAGCTTACGCCAGAAGGTTACTACCTCCTCCCGGTGATTTGATAGCTCACCGGGCTGGTCCTTGGACTCTCCTGGGTGGATGTCCTGCTTTGCTGTCCGGCGGCTCTGCCTCCGCTGTCAGGGCCGGGTCAGCGGTCTAGACCTCTGTCGGCACGGCCTTTGCAAATAGTAGGAGAATGGAGCCGTTTACTGAGCACTTCCCTCCTGAAACCGGACTTAAATGTTTGCAGTTCCTCCAGCTGCTCCCTAACAGCACTGGGCTCCGGCCTGCGGCTCCCGTGGCCCGCGCTCCTCTTCGCTGGCGCTCAAGTTCCAGTGGAGAACAGCGGTCACGCTGAAGGCAGCTGTTTTATTAGCGAAGGCATTGTCTCGCTTTTCTGAAAGCACCTTAGAGTATCGTTAAGTGTACGTACATGATAGTTTGACTTGACACACAGTTCTAGGTTCAGAATCGTCTTCTTTTAAAAGTTGTCGGCTGTTCTCCAGGAGAAGCAATGTCAGTTACTAAGGCTCAGGGGTATTTTTTCCTCTGTAATGTTTTGGATTTTCCCTCATCCTCTGGTCTATTTTATCAGGAAATTTCTCATCTGTCCTTCCGCCCAGTGTTCTCCTTTGGGTGTGAGATGGCCCCTTCGGAGTGCAGGCCAGCCTGAGCCTTCAGCTCAGGAACCAGTTTCCGCTCTGCCTTTAGCATTTCCTGTGGCTCCTCCGCATCCGTCTTCCTGAAAATGTTGAATCTGTTGCGTCTGGCTTTCTTCTCTCAGGTTTTCTTTCATCATTTCAGTTTCTGATTTTCTGAGAGCCTTCCTCACATATATTCTGTCTCATTTGTTATTCAAGCTTCTTACTTGAGGATCTTGAAAAATTCAATAATGCAGTCTCTAATTTCTAAGTATTCTCTGGTGGCTGTTTCTTAGCAAACTGTTCTCATTTATGGAAGCAATATGTTGCTTAATTTATTAAAAATATAAATCAATACAAAATGTAAATTTATTAAAAATATAAATCAATATAAAGTTATATAAGATGTTTTCTTTATGAATTTGATTCTATTGTGGTTGGGTTATTCATTTTGATGTTTATCTTTTATTTATACTGTTTCCCTCAGTTGGTGATTTTTGACGTTTTTAATTTCCGTTCTGGAGGTAACAATTGCTACCGCTAACGTGAGTGTGTCGGCTATGAGCCCGTTTGGCTCCTCTCCCCTGTGTGGAGGGAAGGGCTGCAGCAGGGATGGGAGGGATATGTGTGTAATTCGGTTGGTATCACATCATTTTCCCCTCAATTTTTCATTGTGTAAAATACACATAACACAAAATTCGCTGTCTTCACCATCTTTAAATGCTGCAGTTCAGTGGCATTAAGTGCATCCACATGGTTGTGCGGCCATTACCGCCATCCGTCTCCAGAATGCTTCTCAGCTTGCAAACCTGAAACTCCGTCCTTGTTAAACACAAACTCCCCTTCTCCCCAGCCCCCGGCAACCTCCCTCCTGCTGCCTGTCTGTGATCTGACTCCTCTAAGGGCCTCGTGTAAGGGGAATCGTAGTGTTTGTGTCTTTGATTGGAGTATTTCACTTAGCATGTGTCCTTGAACTTCATTCATGTTGTACCACTTGTCAAAATGTCCTTCTTTTTAAGGCTGAGTAATGTTCCATGTGTGCGCAGACCACGTCTTGCTTATCCATTCATCCAGTAATGGACACTTGGTTACCTCCCCATGTTAGCCGTTGGAATACTGCTGCTGTGTACAAGGGTGTACACATAGCTCTTCAGTCCTTGCTTTCCGTTTTTTGGTGTAGACCCAGAGGTGGGCTGCCGGGTCATGTGATCATTCTGTTTTTGAGTTTTTGAGGAGCCGTCATACTGTGTCCACAGCCGCTGCCCCACTTTACGCCCCAGCAGTGCACAGGCTGCGGGCTCCCCTCACTTGTGTTTGGCCGAGCTGGCGTGCTCGGCTCGCTGCTTTCTGGGGGGCTGGTTTCCTGAGCGTTGCCTCCAGGAAGGACACCACGTTCAGTGGAGAGAGTTGACTCTGTGTCCTGCTTTGCTCATTCCCTGCTGCCTCCGGATCCGGATGTGGCTTTCTGAGAGCAGGAGCGCAGCCCAGACTCAGATACTTCAATTCCAAAATTAGAAAACAGTTTATTTTTGGTTTGAGGGTTTTGTGTTTTTTTGACACAAGAAGGAACCCAAATGCCCTGCGTTTCTGACATGGTTTCCCTCCCACAACCTGCACCATAAAAGGGTTACAGGGCTCCTGGTTGCCTTGACCAGTGAGCTCGGTAAGCTCTTGTCCCCGGACGCCTTGTCCACATCTCCGATTCCCATCGCGCTGCCATTACAGGAGCCAGTGTCATTCAGGGACGTGGCCGTGGACTTCACCCAGGAGGAGTGGCAGCAGCTGGGCCCGGAGCAGAAGACCACCTACAGGGACGTGATGCTGGAGAACTACAGCCACCTCGTCTCCGTGGGTGAGCAGAGCGGCTCCCTGAACTGCTGTGGTGGGGCTTCTGTTCAATGGCTTTATCCTCAAGTTTGAAGAAATAGGTGATAAGACCATTGAATTCCACCTGGGCACCAGGGAGCGTATTTGTTTTTTGTTTTGTTTTTAAAATATATTTTATTGATTTTTTTACAGAGAGGAAGGGAGAGAGATAGAGAGGTAGAAACATCAATCAGCTGCCTCTTGCACACCCCCTACTGGGGATGTGCCCACAACCAAGGTACATGCCCTTGGCCGGAATTGAACCTGGGACCTTTCAGTCCGCAGGCTGACGCTCTATCCACTGAGCCAAACCGGTTAGGGCCAGGGAGCGTATTTGTATCTCTGCTCTCCATCAGAAAGTTCTAACTTTGGACCTGGCTGGTGGGCTCAGTGGTTAGAGGTTGGCCTGTGCACTGGAGGGTTGTGGGTTCGATGCGTGGTCAAGGGCACATCCCTGGGTTGCAGATTCAATCCCTGGCCCCTGCCAGGGTGTGTGTGTTAGGCAACCAGTTGATGTGTCTCTCTCTCCCCATCCCGTCCACCTTCTCTAAAAATCATATACCCAGCAGAGCTGCAAGAGGAAATGACAATAATTTGCTTCTTGCATGCATCGCTCTAATAACACCTTTTATTTATTTTAAAAAATAAATAAAACAAAAATGTTCTGCCTTTGATAAGGTGCAAAAGGCCACCCTACTGTGCCGCCTCCGAGGCAGCAGCAGCTGCTCCAAGCCCGTCTCCTTTCCCGCCACAGGGTACGACAGCACCAAGCCCAGTGTGATCGTCAGGTTGGAGCAGGGAGAGGAGCCGTGGGTGGCAGAAGGTGGCTCTCCGTGCCAGGGTTGCCCAGGTGAGTTAGCAGAATATCCCACTTTCAGAAGTGGGCCCCCAGGCCTGCGGGAGTGCCAGGCAGCGTCTCGGTGCCTGATGCCCAGGTCACAGCTCCGGGCCCCAGAGGGCGCTCTCCCTCCCACACGTGTCCAGTTTCTTTGTGAGTGTCCACGTGATTTCCACGCTGAGGAGCCGGTCCCTCCTCTGGCTCTTGAATTCTCAGTGACTAAGCTACTCCCCTTACCACAGATTCCCCTTCGCAGGCATTCAGAAGCCTGACAGAATCTCCTCGAGCTTCTCGTGTTCTTCCACCTTCACTTTCTCTCCTTCCTTGTGAAATGCCTCAGGCTCGTGTTCTGTCCGCAGTTTCCCTGCCCGCCCCGTGCACTCACAGGCCAGCGCCGTGTCCTCTCCCAGAGCTCCGAGGCCAGCCACCCCCCAGGGCGTGTGCTTGTGCTGTTGGAGGAGCTGACTCCTCCCCCTCTGCGCCCCTGGCTGATCTGGGGCCGTGACACTGGCCGGCTCCGCCTTCCCCATCGCTCGCTCCTTTGTCTGCTGCTCCTGTGTGCACAGCAGCCGTTCGGGAAGGGTGTCTCATCAGCGGGTTCAGTTCACCCTCTTGCCTTCCTCAGGAGTGCTGACCCTGGACCTGCTTTCCACACCTTTACTTTTCTTTGGATCCTTAAAAGGGTTCCTGTAGTCCCCACTGTTAGGACTTTGAACTTGTATTTATGCTGCGGATCCATCCAGCTGACACCTAACCCTTCACCTGTGGTCCAGCGGACGCTTCCCTGACAGATGCCAGTGCCAGCGCGACCGCCGCTTCCTCCCTTCTCAGAAAGAGCCCCCAGGTCACCGGTGCTGTGGTCTTGCCCGCCTCCCTTTGCTTATGGCATGTACAGTGTGAACAGGAACATGACCGGCTCGCGGGTGGCAAGGAGCCAGCTTGCTGGAGCAGCGGGGGTTTGGGAAGCCCAGTGCAGTGCTGGTTTGAACGGATGCTGTGAATCCAGGCAGTGAAAAATCTTACTGGTGAATGGCAACTTCTCAGATTTTTCCTGTTTGTATTTGGGGCTTTGGGCTCAGGATGTTATAGGTTTCAGAGCAGATTCTAGGTATTGCAATGAGTGTGGGTGAGAGTGGCTCACAGTAGTTTAGAGGATCCCATAACTGTAAGATGCCTAGATAGAAGTTCCTACTTTAGGGGCAACTTTTGGAATCTGATATTTAAGGTTTTACACCAAATGAAACCCAGGAGTGTGGGAACTCTTATTTGTATTAAGAATTGAGCTATGGTGTTGTGTCAGGGACATGACTGGTTTTAGGAAGTTTAAATCAGAAAATTGAAAGAGAATTAATGGTGAGACTTAATGAGCATTTGTTTTGTGTCCAACCATTCTAAGCAGATGACATGTGCTGATGAGATCAGTCTGTTCCCCACCCTGTGGTTAGGCACTATTGTCCGCATTTCAGTGAGGGAGCCTGCGTCACAGCTGTCACTTGCTCAAGGTCCTCAGCTTGTAATGTGTTGTGTTGGGGTTCCAGTGCTCCTGACCACTGTGCTCTGCTGTGCAGACAGGTTCAGTGCGTGTTAATAAGACTGCAAACCCTTCAGAGAGCTGATCTTCCCGGAAGGCCTCTTGCCTTCGGTCTTTCTTTGGGACATTTATGTGCCAGGGAACTCTCCTTCCTGGTGACTGTGATCAAGGCGAGGGAGTTGGGGCCCTGGTTGTGGGACTGTCTCTAAACATGAGGAAAATGGAGCTTTTAGACTGTTCTTTTGGACTTCTGTGCAGAATAGAACGGCAAAGATTTTGGAAGGAGCTCTGCTAGTGAGGATGTTACTATGGTCATCTTGTTGTGGAGTGATATTTTACAGTTTAATATAAAGTTAATATAATCTATTTCTCCCAAGCGTCATCCATCCTTGAATGTTTCCTTTGAATATACATCTAGTCATTGTTGTTCTCCCACTGCCTCTATTTACTCTGCCTGGATCTAGCACTCTTTCAATGCCTTTGTTCTCTGCTCACCACTTGTGCTTGTTTATTTTACCTTTTATACCAGAGTTTTGAACATATTTGTAAAGTAACAAAGCTACTTGTATTCAAAGTGAATTTATCCTTCCTTTATCCCAGGGGTGGGCAAACTTTTTGACTCGAGGGCCACAATGGGTTCTTAAACTGGACCGGAGGGCCGGAACAAAAGCATGGATGGAGTGTTTGTGTGAACTAATATAAATTCAAAGTAAACATCATTACATAAAAGGGTACGGTCTTTTTTTTTTTAGTTTTATTCATTTCAAACGGGCTGGATCCAGCCCGTGGGCCGTAGTTTGCCCACGGCTGCTTTATCCACTAACACTGAGTCCTACCCCACCCTTATCCTTCTCCCCTAGCTCTACTTGTGTGTGTGTGTGTGTGTGTGTGTGTGTCTGTGTCTGTGTCTGTGTCTGTGTCTGTGTCTGTGTCTGTCTGTCTGTCTGTCTTGAATGACAAATCAAGGGGAAAAGAGGATTATACACTTGTAGTTATTTTTTATTTGTGAAAATTGGCCTAAAAGCCAAGAGTTAACCCTACAATAGGGTACTTGAGTACCACTTCTATTCTGTAGCTGGTACATTCAGATTCACAAGGTTTATTTAACTTTATTCCTTTTCAGAAAAAATCAAGAAAGTTGATGATGTATTAGAAAGAATCCAAGAAAACGAAGATGAACTTTCAAGGCAAACTTACTATATCAGTAGTAAAACTTTAATTGAAGAGAGAGAGAATACATTTGATAAAACTTATAACACAGAAGCAAACTTTGTTCCTTCAAGCATATCTCATAGTTGTGTCTCTTGTGGAAAAAATGTAGAATCTAGTTCAGAATTAATTATTAGTGATGGAAGCTATGCAAGAAAGAAGTCTGATAAGTGTAGTGAATGTGGGAAAACACACCATGGAGAGAAACCTTATGAATTGAATCAAAATGGGGAAGGCTTTTCTCAAAATGAAGAAAGTATTCTTCAAAAAATTAATATTTTAGAGAAACCCTTTGAGTATAATGAATGCATGGAAGCCTTAGACAATGAAACTCATAAGAGAGCTTATATCGGGGAGAAGCCCTGTGAGTGGAGTGATTCTGGACCAGACTTTCTCCAGATGTCAAATTTTAATATGTACCAGAGATCACAGATGGAACTTAAGCCCTTTGAGTGCAGTGAATGTGGGAAATCCTTCTGTAAAAAGTCAAAATTCATTATACATCAGAGGGCTCACACAGGAGAGAAACCTTATGCGTGCAATGTATGTGGCAAATCCTTCAGCCAAAAGGGAACCCTCACTGTACATCGGAGATCACACTTAGAGGAGAAACCCTATAAATGTAACGAATGTGGGAAAACCTTCTGTCAGAAGTTACATCTCACTCAACATTTGAGAACTCATTCAGGAGAAAAACCCTATGAATGTAGTGAATGTGGAAAAACCTTCTGCCAGAAGACGCATCTCACCCTCCACCAGAGAAATCATTCAGGGGAGAGACCCTATCCGTGCAATGAGTGTGGGAAATCCTTCTCCCGCAAGTCAGCCCTCAGTGACCATCAGAGAACACACACAGGAGAGAAACTCTATAAATGTAATGAATGTGGGAAGTCCTACTACCGAAAATCTACCCTTATTACTCATCAGAGAACACACACAGGAGAGAAACCTTATCAATGTAGTGAGTGTGGAAAATTCTTTTCTCGAGTGTCATACCTCACTATACATTATAGAAGCCATTTAGAAGAGAAACCCTATGAGTGTAATGAGTGTGGCAAAACCTTCAATTTGAATTCAGCCTTCATTAGACATCGGAAAGTACACACGGATGAGAAACCCCTTGAATGTAGTGAATGTGGAAAGTTTTCTCAATTCTCATATCTTAATGACCATCATACAACTCCTTTAGGAGAGAAACCCTATCAATGTAATGAATGTGGGAGAACTTTCCTTGAAAATTCAGCCTTTGACGGACACCAGTCAATTCCAGAAGGAGAGAAATCCTATGAATGTAATATATGTGGAAAATTGTTCTCTGATTTGTCATACTACACTGTACATTATAGAAGTCATTCAGAAGAGAAGCCCTACGGATGTAGCGAATGTGGGAAAACCTTCTCCCATAATTCATCCCTCTTTAGACACCAGAGAGTACACACAGGAGAGAAGCCCTATGAGTGTTATGAATGTGGAAAGTTCTTTTCTCAGAAGTCATATCTCACCATACATCATAGAATTCATTCAGGAGAGAAGCCTTACGAATGTAGTAAATGTGGAAAAGTCTTCTCTCGGATGTCAAACCTCACTGTACATTATAGAAGCCATTCAGGAGAGAAACCCTATGAATGTAATGAATGTGGAAAAGTCTTTTCCCAGAAGTCGTACCTCACTGTGCATTACAGAACTCATTCAGGAGAGAAGCCCTATGAATGTAATGAATGTGGGAAAAAATTCCACCACAGATCAGCCTTCAACAGCCACCAGAGAATCCATAGGCGGGGGAATGTGAATGTACTCAATGAGGGAAATCTCCTGTGAAAGTCAGACCTCGTGTTAGAAAAACCCTCTGAATAATGACTTGGAGTCAGATATCATGATCTGAGAGTTCATATGTTTGAATAGGGAAAAACATTCAGACATTAGGTTCATTTCCATCTGACTTTTCACAGAGGAGAGTCTCTAAGAAGGCAACAGGAAAAAATGCCTTCAGAACATGCTACAACTCATTGGACACTAGATAATTTATACAGGAGTCAATTTTATAAATATTTAATATTTATTTTGGATTAAAGTTGTATTTACATATCAGGGAGTCATACCAAGGCAAAGTCTGTCAAAATTGATAAATGTGGAAAAATATTTTGTCTTGGAAATTGTTATACCAAAAGCCATATTTCTGATGTAAAATCACATGTTTATAGGAAAGATATCAGAAGCTATCACCTCTAAACCTTTATTGTATAAAACGAAGTTTTCAAACCATCAGGACTTGATAATAAGGTCAGTAGCATTAAATACTTATATGGAAGTTTCTATCATGTTTTAAAAATGCAATCTAATAATTCTATGCAAGTTTGGATTTGAATAATTTATGAAAAGGGAGTATTCTTATTTGAGTATTAAAATGGCAAAATGTTGGTGAGATGTTTGACAGGTACAGAATAGTTAAGTGCATAAGTTTCTATTCTGTTGATGCACTTATAAATGGGTTTCTAATAAATGCCTCACCAATAGTGATTTTTGTATTTTTCAACTACATTTGAGCAAAAAAAGATTTTAAAACATACTATTTTCATAAACAGTAGTTAAGGACAACTCTGCGGCTCTTACTCTATAAAATATGCCCAGCGCTCATCCCACTCCTGTTTTTTAACCCATACGTTTGACTGTGCAGTGTGCCAGTATTACGTAATTCAGAAATGTTATCTATGCTTTTATTTGATATGAACACAGTGTCATTATTTTGTGCACTGCCCCTTATTTCCAGTATTTTGGAAAAATTAATACAATTTCTAGCAGACATTTTTTTATTAACTCGATGTCCTTGCTCCTCTCTTGCCTTGATGTAAGAGTTTGGTGTCTATCATTTCTTAACATGACTCAGAGGGTAAGTCCTGATTAGTCTAAACAAATCGTGATAATCCATTTTGATTGCCTGTAGCTCTTTCATAGTGGTTGTATGACCCCGTCCCGGGCAGACAGAATGGTCAGATGTGTCTTCAGGAAGGGGAGGGTTTAATAATCAAAAATCAGTAACCATGACACCACATGAAGGAAAGTAATCTAGCAGGCAGGAAACAAATGTGGTGACATCACCATTCACCTGTGTTCTTAGCAAACTGGGTAGAAAGGAGTTTCTTTAGTGGGATATGGAGTATCCTACACTTCAGTCAGCAACATGCTTAGTGGTGAAATATTGAAAGTTTTCTCCCAAGATAACAAAAACAGACAGGATATCTACTATCACTAATTTTATTCAGTACTAGTGACCTGGTGCACTGATTCGTGCACATTGAAAGGAAAATAATTAGAAGGTTGTTGAGACAGGCTGGACACACCCTGGAGCCAACCTCCTGTGGTCCCTCCTGACACCTACAGAGTGAGCAGGGTCCCTCCAGCAGGTGAGGTCCCTTGGCCTGGCCTGCAGGGATCGGGCTAAAACCGGCTCTCCGACATCCCCTGAGGGGTCCCAGAGTGTGAGAGCACTCTGCAAAGTTGCTGTCGTACATGGTATGGAACGCAAACGCAAGTGTGCAGTAAACCAGATTTGGGGTCGACCGTGCCCCAGCAAAAGCACAACCCACGGCCCAAGGTGGAATCGCGCGGCCCCCATAGGAATTGGGCTCCCCCTCTCTGGTTTCAGGGTGCGTCACCTGAGAACCGCTACTGCCAAGTCACTGCAGCTTGGCAGTTCCTATGTTGAGCATCTGCCCCCTGGTGGTCAGTGCACATTATAGTAACCGGTCAGATGGGTGGAGGGACACTTAGCATATTAGCCTTTTATATATAGGTAATTGGGCAGAAGGACCTAGCCAAGAAAGTGAATGAAGTGAAACTTCTATTGCAAATGACGATTTTGTATGTAGAAAAGTCTGAGAATTATACAGATAATTAGAATTAATGAGTAAAGTCAGCAAGGTCCCTGCATACAAACTCATTATGAAAAATTGCTTTAATATACCAGCAGTAAACATAGAAAATGAAAAATTTGGAAGCAATACCACTTACAGTAGCATCAAAAATCCTCAAGTGCCTAGGGGAAAGCTTACCTCACCATGCTTTCAAGGTAAAAACAAAAACAACTGCAAAACAGAGAGACATACCTGGCTCATGAGTTCCAGGACAGTTCCTCCATGTGGTCCTCCCATCCACTCCCTGAAATAGTTAGTGAAAAGCACGGGAAAGCATCACGTGTGGGCAAGAATGTGAGGAACAGGAAGTCCATGCTGCCGCTGCCGTTGCCAATTGCTAGACCCATTTTAGAAAGCCAGCACTTCAAGCTGAAGGCTTTTCCCAAACCGAGCAGAAACGTCGGGACGTCCACCAAAGGCCATGGACTGGAATGTCTGTGGTGTAGAATGCAAAACCCAGAGCTCTCTGAAGGCACATGTGCAGTAGGTGAGTGAACTTCGGTGGTGTATTTCCACTCAGAACGCTGTAAAGCAGAGAACCTACCATGATGCAGCTTAGTTTCACAAATACGGTCAAATGACAGAATCCAGACAAAAGCGAACATCGTGTGTGATTCCTATTTACAACAGGAGCAGGCAAACTGGTCTCTGCACTTAGACAACAGGAGACCTTTTGGCCTGGGCACAGGCTGGGGGGGCGGGGTTCACTGGTGATGCGCGTTCTATTTGAAATGTGGGTGCTGAATACCCCGCGTTTGCACGCGGGATATGTGTGTTGTGTGTCTGCATGTGTGTAGACTTCCATAAAAAGTTTTAAAATCCCAGATGTCTACCATTTCTGTTGCTCAGCACTCTTGCCATATTTTTCTAGGTGAGTATGAATATGCTGCAGACCAGGAAGTACATGGTAGCTTTTGCATAATTCCGTGCAGGAAATACTCTTTATAGTAGTTTCCATGGCAACTGCTAAAATTTCCTACACTGTGACCATAAAGCTTAATTACTATCATGTATATTTTAAGTAAAATATTTAAAGGTGACGGGTCATTGCATATTTTGTCATCCTACCCTTTGCATATATGAGTGGGTCTGAACTGCCTCTTCAATAAAAAACTAAAGTGTGTAAACGTTTCCTATTTTCTCAAATTGTTGTTCACACTTCCGAGAACAGGGTGCATCCTTTCCCCATCACAGAGGTGACCTTTCTTTGAGGTAAATAAATATAGTGGTCAGTTTGATTTGATGGAAAAATGTATATTTAAAAGGTTTCAGGTAACCCTTTCAGTACACAGTTATCAGCACCAATGTGAGTAAAGGAAATAGTTAACTAAGACTTTGCACCATAAAAAAAATATAGGTAGAGCTCTTGCCCTAGCCAGTTTGGCTCAGTGGATAGAGCGTTGGTCTGTAGACTGAAGGGTCATGGGTTCAAGTCCAGTCAAGGGCACATGCCCGGCTGGATCCCCAGTAGGGGGCGTGCAGGAGGCAGCCGATCAATGATTCTCTCTCATTGATGTTTCTCTCTTCCCTTCCTCTGAAATCAATACAAATATATATATTTTTAAAAATAGAGCTCTTGATTGGGCTCAGCTGATGGCACAGATGACATTTGCTGGGGCGTGTACTTGGTTTTATCTCACCTTCCCCTACTCGCCTGAGCGGGAAGTGTGAACAGAGGAGCTGCGCCCCCTGCTGGGGGAGGGGTCAGCAGCGGGATCAGGTCTGATCCCTGCTTTGGCTGCCTGTTCCTGGTCCAACTTACCCACGAGGCGCGTGGTCCCACAAGGCCGCTGCTTCTTCCACACAGCCCACTCCTGTCATCATGAGGGCCCCTTGCCCAACCCCATATTTGCTACTGCCCAACTTGGGGTCAGTTAACCTTTCCAGTTTGACTCTAAAGTCTCTGAAATGGATCAAAAAACAATGCAAGACCGCTTATGACTGAGGACAAAAGTTCACCCACTGTTCTGCTCCGTCCCAAATTATGCAGAAATGTCGACCACGCGGCCTTCAGAGGGGAAATGTGTGACCTACAGGCTCCCCAAGTTAAACCAGATGCCGCCTCAGAGAAACGAAGCATAATGTGCAGTCCCTCCTCCCAACTGCCTCAGTGGCAGGCGCGGCAAGGAATTCCCCTTCACACGAAGGAGTGTATAGTTCAGGCAAATTGGTGAACTGCCATTGACTTGCTGCCCTGTGAGCCAAGGGAGTGGAGTGGAAACAATGTCAAAACTCCCAGAGAGAAGGCTCTCAGTGGAGAAGATGTAGCACCTGGGAGTGAAGAAACGTGCGAATAGCGTGGCGTCTGCAGAGCAGAACTTGGAAAATGCATCCTTTTCTCCACGCATGCGCCCGTCAAGTCACCGCGGCCTGCGGACAGGTGAGACCCGGAGGAGGAGCGCCTGCTCAGTGCTGCGGCCCCGCGCGTGCACCGAGGCTGGCATGCAGGTGGCGGCTGGCGTGCAGGTGAGGTGGCGGCCGGCGTGCAGGTGGCGTACTCTCCCGCGCCCCCCACGAGCGCGCTGTCACCCGGGCGGCAGAAGACGTTTGACGTTTAGT